CCGTGTAATAAATGCGGTAGTTCAGAATTAATTACATACCTCGTTGGGGTCCTATTTATAGTAGTTCTTATTGGGCTGCAATTAGGGACTGGGCCCCGGAAAATTAGGGGTCTAATTCTGTGCATTATGTTAATTAATCTCTCCGTAACCATATAGATGATGCCGACATACTCGGCCGACTCCGCCGACACGTTTCGCCCCATCTGGGGTGGTCGACGGGTTCGGGTACTCGGCATAAGCAATGGTCTCGGGTATTCGGGCGATTCGGCCACCATATCTGGGGGTGGTCGGCGGGTTCGGGTACTCGGCATAAGCAATGGTCTCGGGTATTCGGGCGATTCGGCCACCATATGGTATACAACCCCCGCAGCGTCAAGGATGAGAAAAGATGAAGACGGTACAAAGAAGATGGTGACGTGGTATTCGTTGCTGAGGAATAAGGGTCAGTATATTAGAGGCGGTCTAGGCCGAGACCTCAGCCATATGAGGTCAAGTCGAGGCCTTTTGGAGGTGGTATAGGCCGAGACCTTAGCCATGTGAGGTCAGGCCGAGGCCTTTTGTAGGCGGTCTAGGCCGAGACCTCAGCCATATGAGGTCAAGTCGAGGCCTTTTGGAGGTGGTCTAGGCCGAGACCTTAGCCATGTGAGGTCAGGCCGAGGCCTTTTGTAGGCGGTCTAGGTCGAGACCTCAGCCATATGAGGTCAAGTCGAGGCCCTTTAGAGGCGGTCTAGGCCGAGACCTCAGCCATATGAGGTCAAGTCGAGGCCTTTTGCAGACGGTCTAGGCCGAGACCTTGGCCATGTGAGGTCGAGCCGAGGGCTTGGACGTGAGATCTTGCGCTGGGGCTTTGAATATTGATGACTTAGACCGAGGCCTCAGCAGGTGTGGCTTGCCACGTTGGCCCTAGCGGTTACAGGCCCAACGGTTACTAAATCTGGGCCGTTGGATGATGTAGATCGAACGGTTGTGGCCTGGGGGCGTCTTTTCACCTCCCCCGATTTACCTTGCCTATAAATAGGGGTGTTGACGTGAAAATTTACGCGTTGTAAATTTTCCGAGCTCTCCCAAGATCATATTCTTTCGAACAACCCGAGCAAGGTAAAATATCGAGGGGTCGACTTCAAGTGAAATATCGAGGTTACCACCGCTACAATGCGAAGTTGTCTTCCCTTCTGATCACCCCGAACAAGAGGATAGCGGGGATGAGGTGGTCGAGGTATCGCCTCCGATAACATTGACCGTGGCCTTGGCACGGGCAACCGAGGTGGATGACCGATGTGTAGGTCGAGTCGGTCAGCTAGACCCGCAAGCGTTGCAAGTTGATATAAGCGGGGACGAACTAGAGGTGGTCGGCGATGCACGAGGCAAGAGAGCTGTCAGACCGAGTACTCGGGTAAGGGCACGGATCGACTACGGAACTGTGGAGATGCCTGGTTACGAGTGGGTCGACGGGGAGGTCGGCATTTATCTTTCGAAGTTGTCTGACCAGGGGCTGTTAGACACATTTGTCTCTTTGGAGAACTGTTTCGGGAGTGGGGAGGATCAGTTTCCCCTACTTGCCGAGGCATGCATGGACGACGGGCTGGAGACTGACTTCGTGTTTTTGGAGTCGGGGGACGATGAGGACGATTACTTCTACGCCTACATGTGCTGGTTCGTAGACCTCGGTGTTCAACTACCCTTTGACGATTTTCAAATGGGGGCTCTCCGAGTGCTCAACGTGGCACCGACTCAGTTGCACCCGAATGCATGGGCCGCGATGCAGGCGTTTCGGAATTTATGCTTGTGTTTGGGTCTGACTCCCCGACCCCTGGCTTTCCTTTACTACTATACCAGTCGCCCGAGCAAACCGGCAAAGTGGGTGTCATTGTCTCGGGTGCCGAAGCGAGGATTTCTCCGAGCCTTCACTTCTTCCTACAAAGGGTTTAAAGATGGGTTCTTCAAGGTTCACTAGGGGTCGGAGATGAAGAATTGCTTTTATGACCGAGAAGGCGAACCGCTATTTCCCTTTTATTGGACGAAGCGCCCGACGCGTTACGAAGCGATGTCGGCGTCTAAACTCCCTGCCGAGGACAAGGAGATCGTGGACCTGTTAGATCAGCTACCGAAAGGCTTGCCCGTCCGAGGCCTTTTGGACATTTTTGAAACGTCTCATTTTGAGACGGCCTTGCTAGGTATGCGTTCTAGGATTCGGTTGCTTAATCAGTTTTTAAATTGATGTTAAGATTTACTTCGTTGCAGGTTTAATGGCCGGAGGTAAACTAGACGTGACCGCCATGCTCGCGAAAAGGGCGAAGGATGCAAAGGCTAGTGGGCAGGTTCCCCCGGCGCGGTCGGCTCTGAAGATGGCTCGGGATAAGCCTTCCCATGTGCTGATTCCTGCCGCCGACCCCAAAAAGAAAGGAAGCACCTCCCGAGTGAGGGCGGCCGAGCACAATATAGAGCCGGAGAGGCCGAGCTCTTCGACCAAGCGGGCCAAGCAGCTGTCTCTGGAGCAATCGGGTTGCGGCAACTTCGCTATCCCAGCTGTTGTCGCCGGCTCCAATTTCCTTGCCCCGAACGTGCAGACCGAAAATTTGGTCGGTTTAGATCTTGCTACTGGGGGTGGGCTGCAATACTTGGAGGGCATGTCTGCCGAGGCCGCATATAAGCTGTTCTGCGAACTCGATACTCAGACCTCCCTTGTTGCAAAACATGTCATGAACAGGCATGCCGTGTCCGAGGAAAGGATCCATGGCCGACTCAAGGAGGCCGAGGCCACAGTGAAAGAGGCGTTGGCTGCGAACGCCAAGTTAACTGAGTCGGCTGAAGAATTGAAGAGGCTTGCCGACGCCCATCGAAGGGAGGCCGACGACTTGAAGTTGGTCGTACAAAGAATGAAGGTCGATGCTGTCGCGTCAGCGAACGAGATAGCTCGGTTGAAAGAGGCGGCCGCAAAGTTCGAAGCCGAAGCTACCGAGCAGATACTTGAGCAACATGATGCCGGCTTCCAGCATGCGGTCAGGCAGGCTTATCATTTTTGTGAGGTTCTGGCTGACTTTCAGTTCGATGTTGGCCGAGACTTTTTAGGTGGCAAGTTTATGAGCTATTATGAGTTCCCCCAAGGGGCTCAACCCGATGCCGAGGCCCCTCATCACGGTATTTCCATCCAAGCTCTCGTGCAACCAGCTGAGGATGAAGATCCGATCATTGACGTGGTTGGCGAGGGCGACGGAGGTAATCCTGGAAGCTCGGCAGCTACTTAAGGGATCGGCCCGTTGACGGTTTAGGTTTACCTATTTTTTGTAACCGGGCCGTAAGTGCCTTTTGTCATTTTTGGCCATTGGTGCCGGTGGACTTTAAAATTTTTGCAAGTAGCCGTTTTGGTCGGCCATACTCTTATTTTTATAAATGATACTGATTTTTCGCATGTTTATAGCGCTTAGTAATGTAGACACAATCCGACCTGTATGGGTGACCGAGTGGACGTATTTCGCGATTAGTGTTGATGATTAGTGCATATTTCGTGTTTAACCGAGTGTACGGTTTTGGTGAGTGCTCGGTTGAAATTACGCGTTTTGAGCGATTACTCGAGATTTACTCGGATGCGACGGGTTCAGAGTGTTCGGCATAGGGCACGAGTATTTTTCGTATGGTTAACCGAGGATTGGTCGGGCTCGGTACGGATCGCGCATAGTGCTCGACGTAGGGAACGAGTGTACTTTCCGTAATCGACCGAATATTGGTCGGCGTCGTCGCGGTCGTGCGTAGTGCCTGGCTTAGGCGCATCCTTAGCCGAGGAGGGTACTCGGGAGGGAAGCCTGTTGTGCGCGAGTGCACATTTTGAATGTTGACCGGGGATTGCTCGGGCTCAGTACGGGTCACATGTAGTGCTCGCCGAGTATTGCTCGGCTCCGTCGTGGTTGGGGATAGTGCTCGGCCTAGGTACATCCTTAACCGAGGAAGGTACTCGGGAGGGAAACCTGTCGGGCACAAGTTCACTTTGTCGTCGTCGGCCGAGTATTGCTCGGCCTCGTCGTGGTCGGGGATAGTGCTCGGCCTAGGTACATCCTTAGCCGAGGAGGGTACTCGGGAGGGAAACCTGTTGGGCACGAGTTCACTTTATTGTTGTCGGCCGAGTATTGTTCGGCTCCGTCGTATTTGGGTGTAGTGCTCGGCCTAGACATAGAATAAAAATGTAAACGATATGATGAAATTTTGAACTTTTATTAATGAAGTGCCTCGTTAAAAACCTTGCCGACCCAAAAACCCTCCTTAGGGAAAAAAGAGTCGGTCAAGGAAAAGAGTGCACCATTACATCAGCTGTAATACATCTTTAAGTGTGTCGAATTCCATGTCCTAGGAATAGGTTCTCCTGATAGGTATTCTAGCTTGAAAGCTCCATTGTTTAGGTTGTGTCGGATGCGGAATGGTCCGTCCCAATTTGGGGCGAGCTTCCCCTGTCTCGGATCTTTTCTTGCTTCACCTGTGGCTCTCCAAACGAGATCTCCTTCTCGAAATTCTCTTGGTTTCACCCTGCTGTCGAATCTTCGCTTGTAGCGTTGCTTGGTGGCCTCGGCCACGACTAGTGCTCGGTCACGAATCTCTTCTACCGTGTCCAAGTTTGTTTGGAGTTCGGCTTCGTTGCTTGCTTCGTCAAAGTGGGCTTGGCGGAATGACGGTTCTCCGATTTCCACTGGGATCATCGCGTCGGATCCATAGACCAACCGGAAAGGTGTTTCTTGTGTGGTTGACTGGGGGGTGCATCGATATGCCCATAACACCTCCGGTAGCTGCTCGGCCCATGCTCCCTTTGCTTCCCCTAGACGTTTCTTCAGTTCTGAAAGGATGACCTTGTTGGCTGACTCGGCCTGACCATTCATTTGCGGGTGTTCGACCGATGTCACCTTGTGCTGCACTCCTAAGCCGGCTAGGAATTTGTTTAGTTTTCGGTCGGTAAATTACAGGTCGTTGTCGGTCAGAAGAGTGTGTGGGACACCGAAACGGGTGATAATATTCTTTCATAGAAACTTTTGGACTTGATGAGCCGAGATACACGCCAAGGGTTCGACTTCGATCCATTTGGTGAACAGGTCGACGGCAACGATGAGAAATTTGCATTGGCCCTTGGCGACCGGGAAAGGTCCGAGTATATCGGCACCCCAAGTGGAGAACGGCCATGCTGGGGGAATGCAATGTAATTGCTCGGCCGGCTGATGGACCAAATTGCCATGCTTTTGACACGGCTGGCACTTCTTTATGAACATAGCGCAGTCGGTGTTCATGGTCGGCCAATAGTACCCGGCTCGTAGGTGTTTGGAAACGGTTGTCCTCGCTCCCGAATGCAGTCCACATATACCCTCGTGCACTTCTCTCGTCACATAATCAGCCTCGGCGGAGTTGAGGCACTTGAGTAACGGGGTAGAGAAACCGCGTTTGTACAGCTGGTCGGCGATGACAACGTATCTGCCGGCTTGAGTTCTTAGCCGTTTGGCTTCGGACGGATCGGTCGGCGTGTTTCCACTTACGAGGAACTCTTTGATTTCGGCTCGCCAGTCTTGGGAATCTTCCTGATTGGCGCAATCGACATTGACATTTGCCACCACTTCTGCATCGACACTAGGGCGGTCGATCTCTTGTTGGATTATCGTTCTCAAATGCCCCGGCTTTTTGGTCGCGGCCAGCCGAGCCAACTGGTCGGCACGGGCATTGTCTTCGCGTGGGATGTGCTCGACCGACACCTCCTGAAAGCCCGCTTTTATTTTTTGATAAGCGTGATAATACTTCATCATGCTGTGATCCTTTACTTGGAAGCTTCCACCAACTTGCTCGGCCACCACTTTGGAGTCGGTTCGACATTTGACTTTTGATGCACCCATGTCCTCGGCCAGTCTTAATCCTGCCAATAAAGCTTCGTATTCGGCTTGGTTGTTCGAGGCTTTGAACCGAAAGCGCAGGGATTGTTCCAATGTTATCCCTCTCGGTCCTTCTAGGATCACTCCTGCCCCGCTCCCCTGGCTGTTTGAGGATCCGTCCACATGGAGGGTCCACCATGGTTCCTCGAATTGGCCTTGTGGGTGAAGTTCATTTATGAAGTCGGCCAAACACTGAGCCTTGATCGGTCCCCTCGGTTTGAATGTGATGTCAAACTGCGAGAGTTCTATCGACCAGGCCATCATTCTTCCGGCGAGTTCGGGCTTCCTTAACACCTTAGCGATGGAGCAGTCGGTGTGTACAACAACTTGGTGGCTTTGGAAATAATGGCGTAGGCGTCGGGAAGTGTGTACTAGACCGAGCGCCACTTTTTTCGATCAACTGGTACCGGGTTTCTGAATCTTGTAGCAGTCGGCTGACAAAATACACGGGAGCTTGGTTGCCTTCTCTTTCCTGCACCAGAACCGAGCTGATCGCCTCCTCAGACACGGCCAAATACACCAGTATTGGGCTGAGAGGGTCAAGCTTCGCAAGGGTCGGGGGCGTCGCCAAATTCGTCTTCAAGGCTGTGAAGGCTGCTTCGCAGTGTTCGTCCCACGAGAAGGCCGACGCCTTCCGCAGGAGCTTTGTCATCGGGCTAATTTTGTCGCCTAACCGTGGGAGGAATCGGGATAAGGCGACTAGTCTCCCGGAGAGGCGTTGCAATTCCTTGAGGTTGCTTGGGCTTCTCATGTTCATCACGGCCTGACATTTGTCTCGGTTCGCTTCTATGCCTCTTGCCGATAGCATAAAGCCTAAGAATTTGCCTCCCTTGACCCCAAAAGTACACTTCTCGGGGTTTAGCCTCATGTTGTGCTTGCGGAGTTTGCCGAAGATTTTGGCTAGGTCCGTGATGTGCTCGGTGAGAGAATTGGACTTGACCACCATATCATCCACGTAGATCTAGATGTTTCGACATATTTGCCCCTGGAACACTTTGTCCATTAACCTCTGATAGGTTGCCCCGGCGTTCTTCAATCCAAAAGGCATGACTCGATAACAGAAGTTGGCGTTCTCAGTGATGAATTCCGTCTTCTCCTTGTCGGAAGGGTGCATCCTTATCTGATTGTAGCCGGAATAGGCGTCGAGGAAGCTGAAGATAAAGTGCTCGGACGCTCCGTCGACAAGTTGGTCGATGCAAGGGAGTGGATAAGCGTCCTTGGGGCATGCTTTATTGAGGTCGGTGTAGTCGGTACACATTCTCCATTTTCCATTCGACTTTTTTACCAAAACCACGTTAGCTAGCCAAGTCGTGTACCTGACTTCCCTTATGAACTTAGCCTCTAACAACTTTTTCACCTCGGCATCCGCAGCTTTTCGCTTCTCCTCCCCCATCTTTCTTTAATTTTGCGCGAAAGAGTACTTTTAGCATTCATTTAAAAGTTACTAAAATATATCAGAGTGGCGCAGCGGAAGCGTGATGGTTTAAGGTGAAAAGAGAAATAGAGGAGATTATTAGAGTTCTTTAAGAATTATGAATTTCAATTGAATTATCACCCGGTAAGGCATAAGTTGTAGCTAACACTTTAAGTAGAAAATCTTTGAAAGTGTTTTCTTTAATGATTAGGGAATGGCATATGATTGAGGAGTTTAAGGATATGAACTTAGAATGTGAGTTGACCTCTAAGAGTATTAAGTTGAAAGCTTTGAGAGTGATTAATAACTTGATTGATGAAATTAAAGAAGGTTAGAAGGTAGATCCTTTCTTATTAAGTCAAGTAGAGAAGTTGAATCAAGGTGTAGAAAGTGAGTTTAATTTGGAGTGGATGGAGTGTTGAGATTTAAGGATGGGTTGTATATTCCAAATGTGCCAGAACTTAAGAGAGCAATCCTGGAAGAAGGTCATAAGAGTAGTCTTAGTATTCATCCAGGAGCCACTAAAATGTACCAAGACCTTAAGAAGATGTTTTGGTGGCCTAAGATGAAGAAGGAAGTGGAGGAATTTTTGTATGCTTTCTTAGTATGTTAGAAAGCTAAGGTAGAATACCAAAAACTTTCAGATTTATTGCAACCTTTAGACGTCCTAATTTGGAGATAAGATTTTGTATTTATGGACTTAGTTGTAGTTATGTATGATATTCTTAAAAAATTTGATCTTATGGATATGCTTACCGAATTTGCTCACCTTGTACTTATGAACATTAGAAATCCTTTGGTGAAATGATAGAGCTGTATATCGGAAAGATAGTGAGTGAGGTTGCATAAAGATTAGAAAGTAAGAAGTGAGGAGTCTACCATTACAAAAATTTCGGGGACGAAATTTCTTGAAGGAGGGGAGAATTGTAACACCCCAATTTCTTTAAAAGGATATTTTTATTAGTAATGGCATTTCTGTAATTACTGAGGACATTTTCGTAATTTTATAAAGGTATTAGGGGTATTTGAGTAACTCGGAACGGGCTGTTCCGAAAGTGGAACGGGCCGTTCTGAGCATTAAAAATAAGCTAAAATTTTAGGTTGGGAACGGGCCCAGAACGGGCCGTTCCAACAAGGAGAACGGGCCGTTCCGGAGGGAGAACGGGCCGTTCTGCTGAGTTTGGATGTTGGTGATGAGGCTTAAGGCTTCAGTGGGGCATGCTCTGATAGGATGTGACATCTGGCATAGCTAGGCTTGTTTTTGGGATGTTATTGTTTTAAAAGCTTTAATTTTCTCTTCTTATGTAATTTTGAACGTTCTTGAGAAAAGACCAAAATGTACATCTTTGTTATACTATTGTATGATTTTAAAGTTATAAATTAATTCCTAACTAGGAGGCACTGCCACCTTTGCTAGAATTAATCTATATTTCCCTTTATATGATTTCTTGAGTTTTAATACTTATATGTTGACTTTTTATGATTGATGAGTTACGAATGTGAATCTTCTACCTTGTGATATTTGAAACAATTGTTTTATACATGAAAAATGTTATTAAACTATGAAAGATTTTATTTACTCAAAAAGAAAAAGAAATTTTTCTTTACAATTATTGTGTATTGATGTTGGGGTAGAGGGTGTCACAAAAAGAAATAAAATTTAAGAATTAATGGAGATAAAATTAAAGTTTAAGTATCAATGAGGTCGTCTTGTACGGCTTACTCGTTGCGAACTGCAGGGTGAACTGGGACGACAACTCACCAAACGAGTCAATTTAGGCACTCGGCAGTCTCGTAAACCAACTCAAAGCTCTTCCTTTCAGCGATGTGGGAAATATTCGGCATAAAGCCGAGTCGTCCTGAGTGGAAAGGGTTGCCTGGGTCAGGAAAACGTTTAAATGATCCTCGGGGTCGGATGACCCGTCGTACTTCTCGATCGGCATGCTTTTCCAATGGTCTAACAGGGTTGCCTCCATTATTCTTCGGGAAAAGTGATGCCTTAGGGAGTGAGTGGTGGTATCGGCCTTGTTAGCTATCAATGAGCTGACAGGAGTTCGGGTCTCATGGTCGGTCGGGGCGTGATATGCCGACTCTTCTTGGAGAGTAGGGGTTGACGGCACATATGTTTGGTTAAGACCTCAGAGCTCGAAATTTTTTCATCGCAGTTCGGCCAAATCCCTGGCGTCTGCCTCTCTCTGCCTTCGGATAGCGGCCATTTCCTCTCGTAAAGCACGCAAGTCATCTTGGAGGTCAGGTTGGGCTCGGTTAGTGTTCGGCCGGACCTCTTGTGGCACAGGTTCTGGTTCGGTTTGAGGCGTTCCATACGGGTAGCGTTCTTGGTTGGTCATGACGGGGTTGCTATCGGGGTTAGGAATCGGTTGAGTTGCTGTTGATTGTCCTTTGCGGGTTACTACCATGTCTTGGTCTCAGTCGTAGAGTTCGGAAGGGGCTGAAAAAGTCTTCTCGTCCCCACGGTGGGCGCCAAATGTTCCTGTGTCAGGATACACACTTCAATTATCTTTGTTGTAACGGGTCGGATCTTGGGTCTTAGTCTTCTCGTTCCAATCTGAGCAGTCCGAAGTAAAAAGGGGGGGTGTGCCTGCAAAGACACTCCGACGCTCAAGTTAGTACTCGGCGTAATAAATGCGGTAGTTCAGAATTAATTACATACCTCGTTGGGGTCCTATTTATAGTAGTTCTTATTGGGCTGCAATTAGGGACTGGGCCCCGGAAAATTAGGGGTCTAATTCTGTGCATTATGTTAATTAATCTCTCCGTAACCATCTAGATGATGCCGACATACTCGGCCGACTCCGCCGACACGTTTTGCCCCATCTGGGGGTGGTCGACGGGTTCGGGTACTCGGCATAAGCAATGGTCTCGGGTATTCGGGCGATTCGGCCACCATATCTAGGGGTGGTCGGCAGGTTCGGATATTCGGCATAAGCAATGGTCTCGGGTATTCGGGCGATTCGGCCACCATACGGTATAGTATTTTTTTAAGTTATATATAGTTTTTTTTTGTTTGATAAATAATTAAATGGAACCTCAGTCCTTTCTTGATTAAGGAATACAATGATCAAATTACTTCAACAAACGACTTTTAATACTTAAATATAGGTTTAAATTAATGCATATACATTTTATATTCAAACGCATGTTTTAATTATAATTTTGAGTATCATGCAAACAGATATAACGTATGTCTAAGACTTGTTACTCAGCGATGTTTCGAAATATTCACAAAAAAAAAAAATCAATCTAAGTAGATGATGAATTGATTCATTATTTAATTTTTTTAAATTTGTTAATTAAAATATATTAATAGTAAAAAAATGTATATTGTAATTCAATTATAAGTTGTCGTACAGATTAAGTTGTTGACGTTTTGTAATAATTAATTTAAAATAATTTGTAATTAGTTAATACAATAAGGGTTCAATAGCGGACTTATTTTGCTGCCAAGTTTTTATCATGTAATGTCTTTGGCTCTTAATCTGAAGCATTTTTTATAAGGTTATTGATATTGTTCGCTTTGAATATAAACCTTCACGATTTTACTTTTAGTCATTACTTAAAAGACTTTTCAAATATTGGAATATTTTTGTGTTTTATGAATTGTTATTTCTTCTTTTATTTTATTGATGTGAGACTTGTTTGTATCCCAATACATGTGACACTGATCCATGTCTGTTGAGGGATTTCATATTTTCATCTTCATGATTCATGAATCTAAACATTCTTGTGGTGGTGGCAGACCACCTGGTACCAGATTTAGCTTCAAATTGAGAGTAGGATTGACTTGTATTTGTATAGATAATTAAAATTTAAGTAAAATTACTGACTATTAAGTGGTATTAAAACTAACCAATTTCATGTGATACACTTCCTACATAAGATAAATATATAGAGTAGAAGTTTCAAGTTGAAAAATCAAGCATAAGTTTCATTTTTGCAGCATTGACTTCCGAGTCAATAGTGTTGGGAACAGCTTTAATTAATAGCGTAAGTGGAGTGGAGAATGAGTGTTTGTTTGACATATTGGAGAGAGAGAATTTCATAAATGAAAAATCAAAACATTTGTGTACCTAAGTCTCCTCTCGCATGTATGCGTGATGGAAGGGCTGGAAAATGGAAAATGGAAAATGGAAAATGTTAGTTTGACTGGTACAAACTTTTTATCCCTCCCTCTCTCAATGGATGAGACTAATTTTGCCATATACCGCCAAATAAGTATATTATAATTACTCCATATGCATATTAAAGTGCGTCAAAATGATAAATATTTCCGGGGAAAAAGATAACTGTAGAAGCACTATGTATAGTTTTGGATGTTTTGGTTTCATTACCCACTCAGCATTGCCTTATAGTAAAATGAATTTAGGCTTTTAGCACAAACAGGGACAAATCAATGTGGGGTTGTTTTATTAGTCAATTAATAAGTTAAAAATAAATAAATAAAATAAAATATTTAATAGAAATCAAAGGTGCTTTTGGGATAATGGTTCAGGGGAAACACGTCTAGTAAATGGCAATAATTCCATGCAAACTAAATGAAACTAAGTTCAGAACTCATCAAGTATATGGTGCTAGGTTGTTAGCTCCTAATACAATGTCAATGATCTAGCTTCTTGGATATATTTAATCATTCAAAGCAACATTAAATGTGGTTTGTGATATGTTTCTGTCGAGATGAAAAATTAGTGTATACGCTGTTTTTCTTTGTTGTGCCCAGTCCTATGTTAACCTAGCATAACCAATTCTGTTTTGGGTCTGAGATATTGATTTTGAGTTGGTGAGGTGTCCTTTCAATTCAACTGGTCTCGTACAAATAATTCCATAGTTTCAATAGACATACAAACGCAAAGTAAACACAAAGATAAAAGGAATTGGCATGGTCACTGTGATCTAGGATCTTCCACGAGGTAAACAAAAGTTGTGACAGTGGACGAAATCCGGGAATTGCAAACTATAAGAACATAAATGCGAAAATAATTTGTGACCATGTACAGAAAACAAACAAATAATTGGTCATTGCAGGAGGAATATTACCTCTGAAAGTAAAGTCATAACGAACAATAATGTATGTCCGAATGAATGGTTGTTTGCTCTTGCTTGAAGGGTTAGGTGAAAATTCCAATTCTTGATAAAAGAAAAAGGCAGTTCAACGTTATGAAAGGATTAGAAAATGATTAACGTTTATTTGCGTGAGGCTTGGACTCTGTGTTTAGAAGCTGTAAGGGACCACAATGAAAGCTCTATTTAGCCACCAAAACTGCATCTCGAGTAATTTTTATTTGACTATAAATATTCATGTTTAGTTCCTACCGTTTCATGCATATTTTCCATTTTAGTAAGTCCGATTGAACCTTTAGAGTTGCACAGAATGGAATCACGAATGGGGTGGTTGTTTCTTCTGTGTTGGCATTGCTTTATCTCTCATTTTTCATTCTCTCATTCCTTGTGCCATCCACAAGACAGCTTAGCCTTGCTTCAGTTCAAAACCTCCTTCACTGTTCATACTACCTACTGTAATGATTGTTTCGAACCCATCACAACATGGGAAAATGGAACAGATTGTTGCTCTTGGTCTGGAATAACCTGCCACCCAATCTCTGGTCACGTGATTGGCCTTGACCTTTCCTTCAGTAGGGTCAACACTGAAATCCATCCAAACAATACTCTTTTCCATCTTACTCATCTCACACACCTCAGCCTGCCTGGTTATTCCATTCAAGGTGAAATTCCTCCCCAAATCTCACTTCTTTCCAAATTAGAATCACTTGACCTCTCTTTTAATGATCAGTTAAAGTGGAAAGAAAGCACTTGGAAGAAGCTACTAAAAAATGCAACCGTTTTAAGGGAGCTTCTTTTGGATGAAACAGATATGTATTCAACTTCAATGATGCCACTAAATTTGTCTTCCTCTTTGGTTACTCTTGGTCTTGCAGAAACAGGAGTAAAGGGAAACTTGGCAGATAACATTCTCTGTTTACCAAATCTTAAACACCTATACCTGTCGTTAAATTACAACCTTCAAGGCCAGCTTCCAAAAGTGAGTTGCAGCACTTACACTCTTAGTGTGTTGGATCTTTCAAACTGTCAATTCCAAGGGTCCATCCCACCCTCTTTCTTTAACCTCACACATCTTACTTCTCTACGTCTCTCATGGAACAACCTCAATGGTTCAATCCCCTCCTCACTTTCAAATCTTCAACATCTTATTCTCTTGGATCTTTCATGGAATCAATTTAGTGGTGCAATCCCAAATGTGTTTGCTAGCATAACCAAATTGAATACTCCCAATCTTACTTCCCTGGATCTCTCACAGAACAATCTCAAGGGTTCAATCCCATCCTCACTCTTAAGCCTTCCACGTCTAACTTTTCTAAATCTCCAAGCTAATCTTCTCAGTCATCAAATCCCAAATGTCTTTCAGCAGTCTAACAAATTTGAAGTGTTGGATTTGAGTATTAACAATATAGGAGGTGAGCTCCCATCAACACTTTCAAATTTACAATGTCTCATTCACTTGGATATTTCAGAGAATAAACTTAGTGGTCAAATCCCAGATGTGTTTGCTGGCCTCACCAAATTGAATACTCTCAATCTTATGGATAACAATTTAATAGGAAAAATCCCGTCTTCTTTGTTTGACTTAACTCAACTTTCTCTCGTAGATTTTTCTTATAATAGATTGGAGGGTCCTCTGCCCAACAAAATAACTGGGTTTTTAAACGTAACCACATTAAGATTTGAAAACAACTTACTGAATGGGACAATTCCTTCTTGGTGTCTATCTTTACCATCTGTGGTGCATTTAGATCTATCAAATAATCAATTCACAGGTCATATAAGTGCAATCTCATCATATTCCTTGCAGTCTCTATTTTTGTGCAATAACAACCTACAGGGCAATATTCCAGAATCAATTTTCAGTCTTGAAAACCTCACTGACTTGTGTCTATCATCAAACAACTTAAGTGGTTCTGTCCACTTTCCACTCTTCTCCAAGCTTCAAAATTTGCAAAATCTCTCTCTTTCGCACAATAATCAATTATCACTAAATTTCAAATCCAATGTCAATTACAGTTTCCCGTTCTTAAGGTCTTTGTCTTTATCTTCTATGGGTTTGACTGAATTTCCGAAATTATCAGTAGAAGTTCCAACTTTGGGATTCCTCGATCTGTCTAATAACAAACTTAGTGGAAGAGTGCCCAATTGGTTACATGAAATGAGTTCATTGTATCAGTTGGACCTCTCTCGAAACCTATTGACAGCAGCATTGAACCAATTTTCAAGGAACTATATGCTCTTTCATCTTGATCTTAGTTTTAACTTACTAACTGGTGGCATCTCTTCATCAATTTGCAATGCAAGTATGATGATGATTCTCAACTTGTCTCACAACAAATTGATAGGCATCTTACCCCAATGCTTTTCCAACTTATCAAACCTTGAAATTTTAGATTTACAGAAGAACAAACTTCATGGCACTTTGCAGAGTACCTTTTCAAAGAACAAGTGGCTGAGTAGTTTGAATCTCAATAGCAACCAATTTGAAGGTATTTTGCCAAAATCTTTGACCAATTGCTCAAATTTGGAATTTTTAAATCTTGGCAACAATCAATTTGAGGATACATTTCCCCATTGGCTTCGGACTCTACCACATTTGAAAGTTTTGGTTTTGAAAGCCAATAAGTTGCACGGTCCCATTGTCAGTTTAAAGACAAAGCATCCGTTTCGCAGTTTAGTTATTTTTGATATCTCATCCAACAATTTTAGTGGCCCAATACCTAAAGCCTACATAAAAAGTTTTGAAGCCATGACGAATGTTGCTCAAGATAAGGTGGTTAACAACTCGCAGGAATACTTGGGAACGGATATAGGAAATGCAACATACAGTGATTCTGTGACTGTAACAATGAAAGCCATCAGTTTGACACTCAACAAAATTCCAATAAACTTTGTAAACATAGATTTATCAGGCAACAAATTTGAAGAAGAGATTCCAAATGTTATTGGAGAATTGCATGCACTCCGAGGGCTCAACCTTTCCCATAACAGATTAAGTGGTCCTATTCCCCAATCAATGGGAAATTTGACAAACTTGGAATCATTGGATTTATCTTCAAATATGCTCATCGGTGGGATTCCTTCTGAATTAACCAATTTGAACTTTCTTGAAGTCCTGAATCTTTCCCATAACCATCTTGTGGGAGAAATACCTCAAGGAAAACAGTTCAATACTTTTTCGAATGATTCCTACGAAGAAAATTTTGGGTTATGCGGAGTCCCATTGTCAATGACATGCATCAAGGACCCTGAACAACATTCTTCACCTTCACAGACCTTCTGGAGAGAAAAGAGTTTTGGATTTGGATGGAAACCAGTGGCTATAGGATATGGATGTGGAATGATATTTGGAGTGGGCATTGGATACTGTGTATTATTAACAGGAAAGCCTCGGTGGCTAGTGAAAATTGTAGCAAAATGAATTTGTGGATGTTTGGTATGACTGTAGAATGTCTTGTCTTGTAGCACACTTTCCTGTTCAATTACCACTTTGGCTTCTTGGAAAACAAAACTAAGGGCAAGAACCTTATCTCACTGCATTTTAAGGGAGATCTGATACAAAGTTTTGTAATATACAGTTATATTTTTCGTCTGGTACAATTTGTTAGTCTTGACCTTTCAATCTTGTTTTATTTAATCCATATAATTGTTGGCGTTGGTTACATACTACTATCCGTTGTTATATATTTTTAGAACTGTTGTTTCATACATGTCGTTTCTGGAATATTTGTGTCATAACAGTATGAGATTGTCTCATTTTGTTCAATTATCTCATTTTACAAGTTCACCTTCAAATATAGTCTATTTTGTTTTCCATCTATCTAACCACATTAATTTCAACCCTTGACTTGCTTTTAGTGTTGTGTTTCAGTCAAGTACCTTATCTAAGTACTCACCTTAACTAATTAGTTTTCTAATTTTTCATGAAAAAAACCATTAACACAAATGTCTAATTAAATATCTCCTTGAATGTGTGAGAGATTTTCAAAATGAATGATAGGTTGTATCCTTTGGTGAAAGTATGTGCTTATTCACGAAAAGGTGTAACTGTGGAAGGTTATATTGTTCCATGAATGTGTATGTTCTTTCAAGTAAAAACGTCTCACATTCATGAAAAGTTGTGTGTATGACTTACCCAGACATGATTAGGTGATGTGAGTGAATTTTCCCATTTGATTATGATTACTCTGTTAAGATTAAGCTGATCTCTTCCCTTCTTCTACCTCTGTTTCTTTTGACTGCAAGGTGTTGGATGAAATTATTATTGTTGAGATATTCTCACAATTGGAGGAATGAAATATTTATCCCAAACCGTTAAATTATAATTTCATATTTTTATATTAATTATTAAAATTGAAAAATAACTTCATATTTTATATATAATTAAAATTTATAATAAATTATATATAAATATATAATATATTTGAATATATAAATTATATTTTATATTTATGAAAAGTAATTTTTATTGTAATAAAAAAATATTTTTACTAATTGATAATTTTTTTAAAGTACTAATATTTAATTGTAAATAATTACAATAAATAAAAATTGAATTAGATAAAAAATTAAAAAAAATTCTTACAAATTCTCTCATCAAAGAAAAATTCTTAAAAATACTTTTGTACAAAATAAAAGTTTGTATTTAGTATATAGGTGTTATTTATTTTAAATTTTAGTTATTAAGTTTTATATATCAAACATTAACATTTATCGGTAGAATAATTTTAGAAGTTCTTTTTCCAACGAAAAAGTTTGTAAGAATTTTTTAAGTTCTTATCTTTTGATTTTTAATTATCATAATTATTTATAAATTAAATATTAATATTTTAAAATAAATTATCAATAAATAAAAATTATTTTTATTATAGTACAAATTATTTATCATAAATCTAAAATATAGTTTATATGTTTACAAATATTTATGTATACTAATTATATATTATTTATTATAAGACTTTAGTTATATAATATAAACATTTCACATGTGCATTGTATTTGCATAAGCTAAAATACTAGTTATAAATAAAGTTATTATATATCGATACCTTTGTGATTGTCTTTATCATTAACATTATTGTCATTATTACTATTACCGTTATATTGTTACATTACAATCACCACCTCACTAACTAATAATAAGAGAAATGTTAGGTTTTCTCTTTTGATGTAAGAGATTATAGAAATCATTTTAACTTCTTATCTATTTTAATTTGTATTTATAATTTTTAAAATTATTTTTTAAAAGATGATAATTTCTAAAAATAATCTTGTGTCACAATATAAATTATTTATCATACATTTAAAATATAATTTTTATGTTCAACAATATTTATTTATATAAATTTTAATTATAATGTAATTTATAAATGATATTTATTTGTAAATTGTTTTTGTCGTCAACTCTAAATGTATGCATTTTGTTATTTAAAATTTAAAATAAAAAAAATGGTATTCAAATATATAGTTACGATAATTGAGCCTGCCAAAATGAATTCAAATCCTACATAACCTGTCAAAATAGATTGAATTAGATTTTACTTTTCAACATCCAATTCACATACAAAGCAACTCACAACCTATCAATCCAATAAGTTTATTTATATAATAAAGCAACTCTCACATAGATTAGGTTAGATTGGGTTGAGTTGACCAATTAGATTAATATATATAATTTTTACTCATTAATATTGATTTATGATATTTTATTTATAATTTAATTATTTATTAAAATTTATTTATGATTGTATTATCTAGTTATTTAGTATTGTCAATGAACGTGTTTGTGATTCTATTGTGAATTTATTTTATTGGCTATTTACAAATTTATTAAGTAGATGCCTCATTGAGCATTTGAATATTTGATTTATTATTGGTATTTGATCATATGTATTTCACAAATTAAATATTTATTATATATAACTAAAATTTATAATAAATTATATATATAAATAAATATTATATTTGAATATGTATTTATATAAATATATATATAAACATATAATTATATTTCAGATTTAAAATAAATAATTTATATTATACTACAAAATTTATTTTAATTATTGATATTTTATTTTAAAATGTCAAAATTTAATTCATAAATAAATATAATAAATAACTAAAAATGTTTGAAAGATTCTTAAAAACCTTTCCATTAAAGAATAATTTTCTAAAAATGTTGTTACATAAGATAACCATCTACAATTTAATATACAGAGGCCAATCAGTTTTATAACATTTTATATTTTTTATCATAATTCTTTATAATAAAAAATTAAACAAATAAGATAAGAATAATTTATAACTTTTTATGGTTTGGTAGGTGAATGAAACTGAACCCAAATTTGTAGAAGAGATAGATTAGGTTACGATTTTGAATCTAATAAAAGACATGTATTTCACTGCTAAACTGGGTATTCTAATTCATTAATGGGCCTAATGGGCCTAACCTAAGAAACTGAAGTATTTGTTTGTGGTCCTTTTCAAGAAAACTATTTCTTCATTTGTTCTCAACTCTAAAGCATAACCCTGTTTCTAAGTTCTAACTCTGCACTTTCCCTTTTTTATTTTTTACGTATGTGTCTCTCTACTCTCTAGGTTACCATAACTAATTCTTTTACCACTTTCTTTTCTTATTTATTATTTTATTGTTCTTTTGCAACAAAGTTTGATTTTGAGTTGGTGGCATGGGTGTTTTTGTTCTATTATATATCATTTAATTTCTTGATATATCAAATTGAACTCCATCAAGACATTCCAAACAGCCAGATGGTGACATTAGAACCACACTTTTTATTTTTTATTAAAAAAATAAATATGTACAACAATAATACAAAATTGTAGAATATTAAGTAAATAATCGATTATTGGTACAAATAATCGATTATTTGTATTGGTAAAATCAACTTAGAAACTCATTCTACACTAAATAATTGATTATTTCTAGAAGAATCGATTATTCCATAACCATGTTTTCTCATTGTGCTACCAGATAATCGATTATTCCAAAGAGTTGTAACTTCTATCTTTCCCAGACAATCAATTATTTTAAAGATAATTAATTATTTCCTCAACCCAACTTAAGATAATCGATTTTCAAAAAAAACTTTGTTTTTCTTCTTTAATCCTTGTAAAATTTCTCTAATTCATTTCAAATTTTAAAAACACTCTTTTATTAATCACATTTCAATGTTTAATACACATATCAATCAAATATCAATCAATCAATCACATTAGTGCAAATTAGCAACCTAATCAATCAATTCAAGAAAGACTCATTTATTAAACCAAGTTCAATTCTTAGTTGATTAAACCTTTCCTTTGGTAATGGTTTTGTAAATATATCAGCAAGTTGTTTATTTGTCTCAACAAACTCTACCACACAATCATTTTTTTGAACATGGTTTCTTAAGAAATGGTGTCTTATTTCAATATGCTTTGTTCTTGAATGTAGGATTGGATTCTTAGTAAGATTAATTGCACTAGTATTGTCACATCTTAATGGAATCTTGTTAAGTTCAGTTCCATAATGTTTCAAATGTTGTTTCATCCAAAGGATTTGTGCAACAGCTACCAGTTACTATATATTCAGCCTCAGCTGCGCTTAAAGCAACACATGCTTGCTTTTTTCTATGCCATGAAACAAGTGCACTCCCAAGTAGGTGACAAGTACCACTTGTACTTTTCCTATCAAGTCTACACCTAGCATAGTCTGAATCTGAATATCCTATCAGACTTAGTGAGACTCCTTTTGGATGTTGGCATCCTTGCTTGCATTGATGGAATGGTTGATCAATGTGAGGACACCTTGACTCCTTGGATAAAGTCCTTCAAGGATGGCGTCTAGTTTAGATAAGGAATATGGTGGAATCGGCAAAAATTGAGAGTTTGGATGAAGTGTTTGCTGAAAGGTTTGAGAGGGGTATAGGTTTGGATCACTCCAAGGTAGTTGAAGGCCACTTTGATGGAATAACACTAAGGTCGAGAAGACCAAGAGGTGATATACTAAAGGAGGCAAGAGGAATGGGATAGTAAGGCCATTTTTGGACCTTAGCTCCTAGGTTTTATAGCATTTATTTCTTTATTCCTATTTTGCCCTTGTCTTTAATTTCCTATTTTACCCTTGTATTTTGGGGTATTTTAGTCATACAATTTATTTTACTTGTATTTCCAATTTTACCCTTGTATTTTGGGGTGTTTAGGACTTAGAATTTATTTTCTTTTGTATTTCCCATTTTACCCTTGTATTATGGGGTGCTCTAGATTATTAGGGTTTTTAATTTTGGGCTAGGGTGTTAATTAGACCATACACCTTTCCTTTTGTCTACCTTGTTGAACCTAGATCAAGGGCAAAGGCTTTCTCCCTTCAATCCCTACGTCATTCATGGAAGGAGGAACCCATCAAGTGATGGAATAACACTAAGGTCGAGAAGACCAAGAGGTGATATACTAAAGGAGGCAAGAGGAATGGGATAGTAAGGCCATTTTTGGACCTTAGCTCCTAGGTTTTATAGCATTTATTTCTTTATTCCTATTTTGCCCTTGTCTTTAATTTCCTATTTTACCCTTGTATTTTGGGGTATTTTAGTCATACAATTTATTTTACTTGTATTTCCAATTTTACCCTTGTATTTTGGGGTGTTTAGGACTTAGAATTTATTTTCTTTTGTATTTCCCATTTTACCCTTGTATTATGGGGTGCTCTAGATTATTAGGGTTTTTAATTTTGGGCTAGGGTGTTAATTAGAGGGTGACACATTTTTGGTGCTTATTGGGTCTATTTTTGGTGTTAGAAAGGCTTAGGCCCAAGTGGAGGGCAAAGGTTGCATGGTCTTATCATGCACCTAGATATAGCCAATCTAAACCCAAAGATTCCATCCTTGGCCACCAAGTTGCATCTAGGGTTCATTTGCATTTCATTTGGAATGCATTTGCCTACTCCAAATGCAACCCTAGATGCCTCCCATCCTATAAATACCCAACACCCCACCACTTGTAAATACTTTGGATTATAT